GTTCGCCTCGCGCGTTCACTCCTGACACCGGTTTACTATTCTCTTCCTTCGTTTTGCCCCTCGGACTTGATTTGCGCCTCGCCTTGTGCATTTACCCTGACATACTTCGTCGTTAGTTCCCGCATCGCTTTTTACCATTTACGTAGGGGTCGCAGCCAGGCGAAAAAAGAAACGCTTAAAAGGAGCTGGGGCCACCACCACCACCGCTGCCCACTCTTACCCCGGATGATTTTTGAACCGATTTTGTCTCTTTTTGTAAAAGCCTTCTTTCCATTCCACAATACTTTAACCTCCTGCTTCTTTAGTCTCAATTCTATAGGTTAAAATTGTCTTAAGTTTTGTTGTTGCAGAGTATACTTACGTAGTACACGAATGAGCTGTCCTTCCATTGTTCGAACTGGAGCTGTAACTTTTTGTCCGGGTTAAAGTAGCATACCCGAACGGGCTGAAAGCCGAAGTGTTTTGAAGTTACCAAACTCGTAGCAGAGCCTTGTACCACGTAGCTGGGTCGCAGCTCTATCGGGATTGAAATCTTGACTGCAGCCCCCTGTATCGTCATTTATATTGGCTAGTACCCAAAGTAGCTCGTTGGCATGGGTTTTGTGAGCGCCTCATGGATTTCACCTAAAGAGCACATAGGCAAATGAAGTGATAAATAAAAACACCGAATCCTTCTTTCGTCTTTCGTGTCACTAACGGCCTGGATATAAATTGGGATCGTCTATTTTTCTACCAGATCCTCATTGCTGTATTACGGCCGAGCAGCTGGCCACTAGAGCACACGTATGGAACCCGTTAAAGCCTACACAAGGAACTTTGGCTTTCTGAATCCCCGCGTTAAACCTGACAGAAACACGCCATGAGGCCCACTACTATACCTCGAGGTGGGGCCAGCAGGCCCTTGTGCGTGCGTTTGTACACAGTGTAGCAGACTTGCGGGCAAGTCCGCCAAGTCTGATTGGCAAGACAGAATCACATCGGTCTCGGGGTGGGTTTGGGTGGAGAATCTGACAAAGTCAAACAACCTATCCCTAAAGGGGTCTCGAATAGCATGGCAATGAGTGCCATAGCAGTCATACGCAAAATCTGTGTAGGCCGTCCTCAGTAGGAGCGACCTGTGCCCTCAGGTGGCAACACTAATAGATACATACATACAGCTAAAAGTGACCTGCCAAGACCATCCACTTT